CAAAACGAATAAGAAAGCTTGGAGGCACGGCATATACACCTTGATGCAAAATAAAATAAATAAAATACACAAAGTTTAAATAAAGTAATCAGCAAACACTGTGGAACCAAATAAATAAGAAACTAATGTTTAAAAAAAACTTTCAGTCAATAGGCTTTTCAAAAGCTAAAATATTACCAAACAGGCGCCTTTGCATTTCCTTTCTAAACAATCTTCTACCATCGTCTTGTCTTTCTCACCTCACTCTTGTCAGTCAGCTCGACTCCCTCTCCTCACGTGATAAATAAAATCTGACTCCTGCTCCATGTTCGCGCACGGTTCGGCACGCTGCATTGAGCGTATAGTTTTTAAAAGGGTCTGTCCTCTAACTGAAATAGGCTAAATGATTTTTGTTACTATAAAAAAATCAAAACGACGGTGGGCAAATGACGTAACCGGTGTTGCGGCTTAACACCGGTGTAACCGAAAACACTGTCTATCGCAGCAAGCCTAGTTGTAGGCCATTGTGCACTGAACTACCTAGATCAGGTCTTTTATTGATCCCATATAAGTATGGCTAGTGTTGGATCAGATGGAAAAAGTGAAGGAAAAGCAGTCGACAAGTATCTTACGTGCATGTCAACTTCTTCAGTACTGTTTGAAAAGCATTCCAGGATGCACCTCTTGTAGTTAAGAATCTATTCTAAAATGCAGAAAATAGTAGCAAGTGGTCATATTTAAGTGTACTTATTTATGTTTTCATAGGCTGCATGTTTTAGACTGTCAGTGTTACAAAAGTGTTACTGTAGTATAAGATGAGTCACTGTTACAAACTGTTATGCACATATAAACAAGTGGCCTATTTGAGTGAGAAACCTGTTTGTGATCTTAACAGGGAAACCAAGCCGCTATGCATGTGAGATGTTGATGGGTCTAAACAACAAGTACATTAATTAAGTGAAAGAAGGATTTTCACTAATGCAAATATCTGAAGCTTGCAAATATTTCAGGTCTTCTCTAAAGAGAGACGTGAAGCAGGAAACCGAAGTTCGCTGCTGCGGTGCCGCTAGTTCACATGCTGAATTTGAATGACAAATGTCTCTGTTTTGCATCTGACCAGTGGAAGGAGATAATGACTCAGGGGATTGTTGCATAATCAAATGCTTCCCTTCTGTCTTTGTCTTTTAACCCTCATTGCTGTGGCATTTCATGTTTATTTGATGAACCAAATAATGTTGCATGATGTAACGATATACATTACTGCTGGCCTTTTCTGGGCTAGTTCTTTTAGGTCGTGATAGCTGTGACCTATTGATCTATTTTTGTTCTTTTTGATGACGTGCATATGATCGTAATGTCCTAAAAAAGAAAGCTAATGTTGCATGGTTTCTCATATGTTTAGTTTCTTTTTAATAGGCCTTCTTGATTTATTGCAAAAACTCCTTCATGCTTCCCACTGTGAAGACCCTACACTCGCTGTGATCATATGAGACCTAATAGGGATCAACAAGTAGCTTTTACCATTAAAATTGCATGAGAAATTAATAGAAACAAATCTTGCTTAGCAGGAGGAGATGTAGAGAGCAACACAAGGATGAAAAGCTCAGGCTCAGTGGTGTCTGTCGGCCCAGAATGACAGAGGAAAATGCCATCCTCCTCCATTGATACAATTTGGTTTGACAGTCACAGCCATGAAGTCGTTCGCATGGAAAAACTGAGTGTTTGATGCCTGACTTTATTGGCGGAAGAACTCGATTTACTGGAACATCTGGAATGGTCTAGGTAATGCTGTCTATACATGTTATAATATGAGAAGCATTCATAAATATTGAAATATGGAGCAAGAGGATTTGAGGTCAGTGATTATTTTTTCTCCTCAGCAGTCCACACGGTTAAAAGTATCATGTGCCGAAGTTTAATACCTAGGTCAATATTGATAATTTTTTATTTATTTTTCCCAGCATTGAAAGCTTTGAAATGGTTAACAGTCCTTCTGAGCCATGTGATCAATAACTGTCTGGCGCAATGGGAGAAAAAGCTTCATGTTCCTCCTTTTATTGTGCCAGACAAGCGTAGCATTTCACAGCTACCATTGTTCTCTCTCTACCCTCACAGGTTAAACTAAAGCCATTTTGCCCAAACTCTTCCATCACCTACACGCACCAAAGATCTTGCATGCTCTGCAGATCGATAAGCTTGTTGCATTGATGCCTTTTATTTAAGTCTTCGTCCTGTCTGGGAAGTCACGACTGACTGTAATAAATAACGCAGGGCAGCTCAGGGTGAAGATGAATAGCCCTGTTTAGCCGAATGACATTGGTGAACCGCTGCATGCACGCTTGTTTGCATGTATCTGCGCAGAAACGAGACAGTTTGACAGCAGGTTTTGGGCTGATAATGATGTCTCTCCATCCCCCCTCTCCAAGACACATAATTTATTGGTCTGCGATGTCGGTCTATGATACAGAGGCTGCACTGCAGTGCAATTCTCTCTCGTTTGCACTCTCTTTCTTCTTCTTTTGCTCTTTTCCTTTTTAGCATGCTTCACTTTGTGGCAGGTGACATCAATTTCATTATATTGTGGCCAGCGGAATTTTTGGAACAAGGTCTTGAACCCTGCACAGAAATGAAATGTTATGTTGCTGCAGTGCTACTGCTCAAACATTAAAGGGGTCATATGATGCGTCTTTGGAGTGTTCTTTCTCTTTGGAGTGTTGCAAGCTGATTGTGCATAGATAAGATCCCTGAAGTTGCAAAGACTAAAGTCTCAAAACCAAAGAGAGATTTTTTATCAAAGTTAAGACTCTGCCACGCCCCCCTAAAACGGCTCGTTCTAACACGCCCCCACATATCTACCTCACTATGTGGAAATATTAGCATAATGCCGCCCAAATGTGCACGCAAAGTGAGGGGTGTGTGTGTGTGTGTGTGTGTGTGTGTGTGCGCGTGCGTGCGAGAGAGAGAGAGAGAGAGAGCTGTGTGTGTGTGTGCGCGAGAGAGAGAGAGCTGTGTGTGTGTGAGCGAGAGAGAGCTGTGCGTGCGTTAATGTACAGTATTTGAAAAATAATGTGTTTTTTTAACATTAAAGCATGTCAACATATTCTGTTACACCAAATACACCAAATAATGATCTTTAAA